CTGTGGGGTGTGGCCCATTATGCTAATGATTTCCTGCTGGGCTTTTTCTACAAAAAGAGCCCTGCGAGTCGTATCCCTATGTCAGCCTCTGAACACCCAGGATCACTTTCATGCAACACAGGGTTGCCACCCAAACGGCATCCCTGTGTCAGCCTCTAAACACACAGAGTCACTTTAATGCAACCCAGGGTTTCCGTCCAAATGGTATCTCTATGTCAGCCTCTAAACACACAGAATCAGTTTAATGCAACCCAGGGTTTTCGTCCAAATGGTATCCCTGTGTCAGCCTCTGTAAGACACAGGATCACTTGCATGCAACACAGGGCTGCCAGCAAAATAGCATCCCTGTGTCAGCCTCTGTAAGCCACAGGATCAGTTGCATGAGATGCAGGGTTGTCGCCAAACACGTATCCCTATGTCAGCCTCTGAATGCCCAGGATCACTTGCATGCAACACAGGGTTGCCACCCAAATGGCACCCCTGTGTCAGCCTCTAAACACACAGGATCGTCTGCATGCAGACACAAGAGACACAAGAGAGATGCAACCAAACAAATCAGGGCGGAGACATTTCAGAAGTCATTTTGTCTGCTTTGAATTGCCTCCTCGATGTTCCAGAACAATTCGGCCCGAAGCCAACCGTCTTGGGTTGCAGGTGAACACTACGAGTGCAGCAAAGTTGATTATGGTTGTGTTTGATGCTTGTCCTGGCGTGCATATGACTCAGAGGAGGGGGACAAAAGAAGCAACTCCATTTTTCTGATTATGGAACTTTCTTGGCTAAATGCCATTTGGGTTTCGAAAACAGATGGGCATAAATTACCCAGAGAGTCTCTTGTTGTAGAGGAAAATGCAAATAGGTACTTACTGATTCTCTTTTGTGCGCGTGTCTGCCTGCTTACAGGTTGCCTGATCCAACATAACTTCTCTTATGTTCTTAGGTTGCATGGCCGATACCACGAATTAGCACCAAACTTGGTACCGATGGACTATAAGAGAGATCCGGGTGTGACAGTACCTATGCAGCTTATCATAAATATGCCGGAGTTACAGGTATTTCTTTCTCTTGTTACCGTAGCGATGCTAGATTGGAGTCCAGCAGAACCTCAGAGGCCAACAAAAATTCCGAGGGATGAGATTTTGGGAGTCAAAGCTCCCTCTGTGTGATCCCTCGGATATCTTGCTGGTCACTAAGGTGCCACTGGACTCCAAGCTAGTTGATCTACTGAAGATGAGCCCTGACGTGGATAGCCCAGGCTAGCCCGATCTCGTCAGATCTCGGAAGCTAAGCAGGGTCGGCCGTGGCTAGTACTTGGAAGGGCGACCTCCAAGGAATCCCAGGGCCGTAACGCAGAGGCAGGCAATGGCAAACCACCTCTGAAATGTCTCTTGCCTAAAAAAAAGCAAGTCTAGCTCGCCACCTAGTGGTGCATAACTTTAGAGAGCTAGAACTTCTGGCTGCCAGACAATCTTGGGATCTCCTGGGTCTACCGCACACCATGCCATACGATAATTATAATCACTGCAGACCAGCATGGCTGCCCTGTGAAACTGTCCCCATAGCAATGCCGTCACGTCACCCCAAATAGTTTGAGTTTGCTCCTGAACAAAACAGCATCGACCCTTTAGTTCAGGGGTGTCAAACATGCAGCCTGGGGGCTGGATTAGGCCCCCGGAGAGCTTCTATTAGGCCCACAGTGGAACTGGCCATCTCCTGCTTCCAGTTCTGCTGCTGCTGCATCATAGCTTGCTTCGCCAGACTCTCTTAATCACTCAGCCATTTCATGTTTTCCCCTGGGTCCTGGACTCAGAACTCTGAGCATGAGATTTCTGTGGTGAATGTCAATACATCAAAAGTAGGTTTGCAACTTACAGATACACACCTGAACACCATACTCAAGATTGCAACAGCACAGACATTTTGATGCAATAATTCAGAACAAGAGGTGTCAGTTATCAGATACTGTTAAATAAACAAAATATTGCAAGAGTGCTCATGTTTTAAGCATGTTTTTCGTTTAAGTATTTAAGTAAAAAAAATAATCTGTGTTTTTGTGCCCTTTATAAAGTTAATATCTCTGCTACCTGGCATTACATTTTATGACACACAAGGCTCGGCTCGACAAGGTCTCGTTTATGTCGGATCCGGCCCTTATAACAAATGAGTTCGCTACCGCTGCTTTATTTATTTATTTAATTTTAAAATCTCACCCTTCGTTCAAGGAGCCTGGAATGGCAAGTGGGGTTTGCCCCTCCTTCGCTTCATCCTCACAACAACCCTGCAAGGTAGAACAGGCCCAAGCTCTGTTGGGGAGTTTCACAACAAGTAATCTGGACGTAGCCCCCCCCCCCCAACATGCTAACCATTACACCATGCTGCTGGTCTCCTCTTCAATAGCCAAGATTTAGGATTCAGAGTGTTTCTTTAAAAATTCTCCATTGCATAAACAGAAGTTTGGTCCAATATGTCGCTGGAGGCTTTCACAGCCAGAATCATTTGGAGGTCCCTTTAAAACTTTCGGGAGAGGAGGAAAGGGGGTGGCCGCTGGCTGCATGCCTGAACTGCAAGCCGCGAATCTGCCACTTGGAGTTCAGGCGCAACTTGTAAAAAGCATTTCAAGGCTCCCTGTGACTGCTTTTTACAAGTGGGGGCCACCAGTGTCGGAACTCCAAGCGGCAAATTCACCACTTGCAATTCAGGCTGCCTCCTTAACGTGATGACGTCACTCATGCGTGACGTCATCACCTTGCGGATGTCCCTCCCCCCCCCTCTAGGAATGCCCCCCCCCCCAAAGTCCCCCGCTGGTGAGCGGACAGGACCTGGCAACCCAAGACTGTTAAACTAATAGATTTCCAGCCAAAAAAAAGAAGCCAAAATGAGGAGGAATGTTCACGGGTTTTAATTGTAATTAAAAACACCTGAAAATAGTCAGGCCACAATAAGCCCGTCAAACAATCGACTGCTTCCTGAGTCCAATAAGAAAGGACATGAAGTTTTATACCCAGAGTGACATAGCTAAGAAGATAACATTCAAGATTCGTGATTGGTCACAATAGGCGAATGAGTTCCTGCTGTTGGGTGTGGCCTGTTATGCTAATGAGTTCCTGCTGGCCTTTTTCTACAAAAAAAGCCCTGACGTCACTTATGCGTGACTGTCATCCCCCCCCCGAAGTCCCCCGCTGGTGAGCGGTCAGGACCCAGCAACCCTAGACTGTTAAACTGATAGATTTCCAGCCAAAAAGAGAAGCCAAAATGAGAAGGAATGTCCACAGATTGTAATTGCAATTAAAAACACCTGAAAATAGTCAGGCTACAATAAGCCCATCAAACAATCGACTGCTTCCTGAGCCCAATAAGAAAGGACATGAAGTTTTATAACCACGACACCAAACTGGCTCTCAGTAAATAACTCACTGGTCAAATACAGAAAAAGGTGTGCCTACACAATATCTTAAATGCTTATTTATCCTCACTTCAATAATAATATCGCAAGGATTCAGAGCGGCTTACAATCTCCTTTCCCTTCCCCTCCCCACAACAGACACCCTATGAGGTGGGTGGGGCTGAGAGAGCTCTTGACAGAAACTACTCTTTTTCAAGGACAGCTCTTATAAGAACTATGGCTTGCCCAAGGTCATCCAGCCAGTTGCAAGTGGAGGAGTGGAGAAATCAAACCCGGTTCTCCCAGATTAGAGTCTGCGCACTTAACCAGTAAATCATTCCCTGGTCAAATACAGAAAACGGTATGCCTACACGATATCTTAAATGCTTATTTAACCTCGCCTCAATAATAATATCGCAAGGATTCTTCATACCCAAACAAAAAAGAGTTTTTCTTTCTGATATGAAACTGAAGCCCTTGTTGACCCAGACACTGCAGAGTTTTACCCCAAACAACTAAAACCATGAACTTTATACTTCAAGCAAACAGGGCCCTTTTTTTCTAGAAAAAGCCCAGCAGGAACTCATTAGCATAATAGACCACACCCCTGACACCAAAGGTCATTAGCCTATAAGGCCACACCCCCTTGGCTTGCCTGGGCGCCCCGCGGCTGTGGGTAGCTCGGGCAAACAAGCCGGCCCTTGGACAGGCCGGGGAAGGCACGGGGAGGCATTTAAATGCCTCCCCGATCCTTCCAGGCCCCCCCCAGCCCGCCGCAGAGTTGTGGGGTGTGTGTGCATTGCTCTCCAGGCCTTCCCTCTGTAGCCACGCATGCAGAGGTTTTGGCTGTAGTGGACGTGGCCATCTCTGAAGCCAGCCGGAACTCCGCTCCTGTACGTTCCCGCCCCCAAATAGCCCTGCAAGCAAATACTTCTATTGAAAAACCTATCATCTGCTGTACCAGCAAAATAACGTTGTTTTCTTGTCTGCTAGTGCTCTAGCATACAAAAGAGAGGCCCTACCACTAAATAGGCTTCTATTAAATCCTAATAAAGGTAAAAGGTAAAGGTTCCCTTGCTCAAAAGCCAGTCGAATCCGACTCTAGGGTTGCGGTGCTCATCTCCGTTTCAAAGCCGAAGAGCCAGCGCTGTCCGAAGACGTTTCCGTAGTCATGTGGCCGGCATGACTAAACACCAAGGCGCACGGAACGCTGTTCCCTTCCCACCCGAAGTGGTCCCTATTTATCTCCTTGCCATTTCTTGCTTTCGAACTGCTAGGTTGGCAGGAGCTGGAACTAGAGACGGGAGCTCACTCCGTCATGCGGCACACTTGGGTCTCAAACTGCTGAACTACTGACCTTCCACAGCCTGCAGTTCAGCGTCTTAACCACTTGAGCCACCGCAGCTCCTTTTATAGAGATCTTAAATCCTGATAAGATCTCCATAAAATGAGAAACATATCAGTATATGAATAATCTGAATCTAAAAATGGTTATATATCCCCATCCATACTACAAAACCTTGGAGTATAACCCTTCGAGAGTTACAATAACTGTAACATCTAACTTGGCCATAAAGGGATAAAGTGGCTGTGTGAAGCCACTCTTAATCTCCCCAGGGGGGTCTGCCGTGGGCTATATTTCAGCCGCGCTTCTTTCTTCCGGGGGAGAGAGACTTGGTATGTGCTCTGAGAGGAGCCATGATGAATCTTCCGTAGAAATGAAGACCCTTTGCTACCACAGTGTAGACACGGGAAGGGGACGGAAAATTAAGTCAGGGCAACGAAAGGTCTACTGCTTATCGATAAACCTCAAGTGGTGTAACAAGGATGATTACCCCTCAGGGATGAGCACAATGCATTGTGTTCAAGTGCAGTGTCAGATTTTTAATTTGCCATAATGTGGTAGCCCTTCTATAGCCTGTAATGGACTGGGAAGACAAATCGAGAATAGCCCACACTTCCCTTTATCCTTTACCACTTCCTCGTCCTTTTTTAAGCCTACGGTTAATAGGCTGAGCTGCAGACCGGAAGGTTGGTAGTTCAGCAGTTCGAGACCCGAGTGCCGCATGACGGAGTGAGCTCTTGTCTTTGGCCCCGGCTCCTGCCAACCTAGCCGTTCGAAAGCAAGAAATTGCAAGTAGATAAATAGGTACCGCTTAGGTGGGTAGGTAGCGTTCCGTGCGCTTCGGCGTCTAGTCATGCCGGCCACATGACCACGGGAACGCCTTCGGACAGCGCTGGCTCTTCGGCTTGGAAACGGAGATGAGCACCGCATCCCCAGAGTCGGATTCGACTGGCTTTCGAGCAAGGAAGACCCTTACCTTTACTACATTCGATTTTAGTCCACCCTCCCCCGCCAAGGCAGGGCTCAGGCTTAGGTAACGAAACTTCGGTAGCTTGACATTAGCGTTGGCTGTTTCTCGCCTTGTGCTTCATTGATCTGGTTTGTTTCACCGCTGTCGGAGATCAGTTCCCCTGGGCTAAATACAATATAAAGAGGGAACAACGGGAACAAAGTCGTATAATAGAGGAAAAAATCCTTGTGGTTATAATAACAATATATATTTCAACAATAGTAAAGAGCAGGGGTCATTCCCTGCAGGAGCGCACAGGAGCGGAGCTCCGGCAGTAAAGAGCCCAGGGGGCGGGCACATGCAACAAGCCCCACCCCCTGCTCCCAGCAGCCCTCAGTCATAGCAAGAAGCAGCCAGGTAAGTTGCAGAGCCAACAGGTTCAAAACAGTCCAGTTGCACCTTTAAGACCAAGTTTTATTCAGGTACAAGCTCTCCCTCCTCTGCGAGGGCAGATCTGCATGTCGTCCCCCCCCAATAGCTAGCAATCCAAAACAGTCCAGTGGAGCCTGAGCGGTGGGTGTTGCCTTCTGACACACTTCCGGTGATGCCAGGGGGTGTGGCATATGCAAATAAGTTACGCTAATGAGCTCCTCCACCTCTTTTTCTACGCAATGACCCCTGGTAAAGAGTACAATCTCAACCTGCTCCATTTAAACTGGAGATGCCGGGGATGGAACCTGGGACTTCCTGCATACCCTACTGTGACCTAGATAAGATTTGTCTCGTGGGACCAAGGGCCTGACTTGCTGTAAGCAGCTTTGTATGCTCCATCATGGGCAATTTTCTTTTTTCTTTTTACTCCATCCAGATTCCAATTCAGTTGGGTCACTGGGGAGTTGGACAAAATTGCTTTGCAGGCTGGTTTGTGTCCTATACGCCCCCACTCTCCCGATCAAGTGTACTGGAGTTAACGTGCCATCCAGCTTCATTACCTAAGCCTGCCTCTGAATTCCCCTCGGTTTATCTGTTTGCAAGCGGTAACTGGATCCAGTGGTAATACACTCTCCGCTGTAAGGGAAACCAATTGGTCGCGAGGCCGAAGCGTAGGAAAGAGGAGAATGCTGGAGCCCCAGATATTCTGTTCCAAGGACGGGGGCGTCTGTGCGTGGTTCAGGACTTCATGCTCCCACCTGGCCACCGAATGGAAGAGTGCGGAGTAGACCCAGCTTTCGCTGTGAAAAACCATTCGTGCCATTTCAGGGCCTGAGCAGTTCTTACGTTTGGCAACTCACCCTTCCCAAAGACCGGGTATAGACAATCCAAGAGCTCGTGCTAGATGGAAGCACGTCAGAGTATTCTGCTCTGCATGCAGGGCTTGGATCGCCACCCAAAGGATGATCCCCTGAGCCTGCTCGGTGTTGCTCCCTTAATTAATAGTGATTAATTATGGTTAATCTACTGATTAACCTTGCAGCTCTGCTGTAATTCTATACAAAATTACTATATATTCTCAAGTATTTGAGTGGGATGATTTAGATTTTTCTGTTGCATGTTGTGTTGCAGGAGAGGCTTATTTTCTCTCATGTAAAATAACTGGTTGTTTGTTTTTGCCCAATGTTTGAAGGTCTGAGTAACTGAGGGTGCCAGTTCTCAGTTGGGAAATTCCAGAAGATTTCGCATTGAGCTATAGAGTCCACCCTCCAAAGCAGCCATTTTCTCCAGGGGAACTGATCTCTGTAGTCTGGCAGTCAGTTGTAATTCCAGGAGATCTCCGTGTCCATCTGGGGGTTGGCAACCCTAGCTACTGTTCATCTGCCCACTACAGGGTAGGGAGGAAAGAGCTCATCTGGGAGTGTGGGGCGATATTGCTGCACGTGACATCAGCATGATGATGTCACAAGAAAGTGACGCCATCAGGCCAGGGCGTCACATGTAGACTCTCTAGGATTTTGGCCGAAACTCTATGGTTACCATAGAGTTTTTGGCCAAAATGCTAGAGCATGATATCACTTCTGTGTGATGTTATTGTATCGACATGCAACAGGCCTCTTCAGGAGTGGGGCTTTCCCCGCTGGCCAGGTGGCCTGCAGTGGATTGGAGTCCTGAAGAGCCCCATTGGCCTAGCAGCAAAAGACTCCACATTTTAGAGGGAGCATTGTCAATCCGTCTCAGAAATGTTGATGTCCCCATCAGTGTTCTTTCTAAGACGTGGAGTCTTGTGAGCAAAAATTCTACTTTGTGAGCTACTGGCAATAAAGTTGTGAGTGAGCAATTTAGCGGGTGCATAAATTAGTTTGCTCTGGAGCCATCCTTCCTGAGCTAAGTAAAAGATGTGTGAGCCAGAGGCTAAAAAACTGTGAGCTAGCTCACATTAACTCAGCTTAGAGGGAATACTAGTCCCCCATATAGTGGGATGGATCCAACTATTCTCCATGAAGCTGTTTCTCCAATGGAGGAGACACTGAAGTTGGACAAATGCTCCCTAGACTAGAGGAAAGCTTAGTGGAGTGGTAGGATCTACTCCATTGTTTCTGTTCTAGGCATTCACAGAATTCCAGTCCGTGAGCACTGGTTGATATGTCCAAAGTGGCCTAGAATTTCCATATGTAGTAGTGTTTTTTTTAAAAAAAACAACACTTGAGACAGGTGTTGGAAGACATGTATTCATGAAGATGCAGTGGTTGTGTATTGTTTGAATGATATGTATTCCCCAGTAAAAAGACAATATATTTGACTGAATACAGTCTCAGTGTCTGTTCTGATACTTGCAGCAAAGGTGGGTCTTCTGTATACATTGGTGTGAACCCTAATTTGCCTATTGCCAATTAATAATCATAACTTCCCCTAGACTAGTTAATAATTCAAGGCAATTTGGCTAACAAGCCAGCCCATCTCCTTCCCCAGTTCAATTCCCTGCATCTCCAGTTAAAAGGACCAGGGCAGGAGGTGATGGGAAAGACCTCTGCCTGAAACCCTGGAGAGCCATGGAGAGGGGCTGTGGCTCAGTGGCAGAGCCTCTGCTCGGCATGTGGAAGGTCCCCAGTTAAATTCCCGGCATCTCCAGTTAAAAGGGACCAGGGCAGGAGGTGATGTGAAAGACCTCTGCCTGAGACCCTGGAGAACCGCTGCCAGTCTGAGTAGACAAGACTGACCTTGATGGACTAAGGGGGCTTGATTCAGTATAAGGCAGCTTCATGTGTTCTCTTATTATAGGGGAGAGGCTGTGGCTCAGAGGCAGAGTATCTGCTCGGCATGCAGAAGGCCCCGGGTTCAATCCCCGGCACCTCCAGTTAGTAGACGCAGTGAAAAGGTTGTGGATCCAGGCAGCTGGGAATGGGGATGACAGCCCGTGTGCAATAGAGTGTATCAAAGCGAGTAACCATCCAAGTGGTCTGAGGCATGGAATGACCCTAACCCCACAGCTGGAACGCAGCATGTTCAGAGTCTAGTGTGTTTAGAGTTGCCAGGTCTGGGTTGGAAAACACCTGGAGACTTTGGGGGTGGATATGGGAGAGAGTGGGTGTCATGACCCCCAGCAGGTTGCCATCTTCCTCTGCCACCACTCTGGACCCTAACCCCAGAGTACCTTCCCAAGCCGAACCAATATGCCCCTTTTAAGCCGAGAACTATAGGTGTGATGACCAGGCAGAGAACATTAAACAAATGTCTTATTAATACAGTAACGGGGCCCGGAAAACAAGACGAGGTGCTTAAAATATATAACAGCATCTAAAGGCAAATAAATCAAATCTAACGCTATTTCTCTTACCTGGTTACTATTCAAGGCCCACAGCCTTTTATACCAGGCCTGTGCCTGTACTCACTCTGTCCCAAGTGAGGGATCTTTCTCTCAGACCGGACTGTCCCCTCAGTTTAACTCTGTGAGTGGAAAGAATGCAGAAGAGAAAAGAACACAGTTCCACAGCCCACAAAGCTTAAGTTGCATCTCCTCACACAATCCCTGGACACCGATTGGTTACAACCGTCGCTAAGCATTGTGGGGATTGTAGGTTGTGTCTGCTTTCCACTCCCACGATGGTCTCCTAGGGCCAAGGCCTCTGGCCCTTGTCTCCCAGTCCTACACAGATCATGATAGCGGGGTTTGGGGAGGGGAGGGGCCTCAGCGTGGTACAATGCCATAGAGTCCACCCCTCAAAGCTGGACCTCCTTGATGGTCTCCCATCCAAGTATTAACCAGAGCCTATCCTGCCTGGTTTCTGAGATCGGATGAGTGGGAGAGACAAACAGAGGTGGCTTCCCATGGCCTGCCTCTGCATAGCGACCCCAGGACTTGCTGGGTGGTCTCCCATCCAAGTACTAACCAGGGCCGACCCTGCTTAGCTTCTGAGATCTGCTGTCCCGGTCAGGGCTTGCATGTGAGGACATTTAAAGAAGGGAAAATGGTCAGCACTTTCGCTCGCATGAAGTGAGAAGTCACTCATGGAACCCCCTCTCTTTCTGCAGGAGAATCCCTTCAAGGAGCGGATTGTCCAGTCTTTTTCAGAAGACGGGGAGGGGAACCTCAGCTTCAACGACTTTGTCGACATGTTCTCTGTACTCAGCGAAACGGCTCCCCGGGAGCTGAAAGCAATCTATGCCTTTAAGATCTACGGTAAGGATGCCCGGTTGTCGTTTGTTATGCCGACATGGCCATGCATGGTACTTGGCAGAACACTAAAAACCCAGTCCCTGCCCTGAGGAAGTTACAATCTAAAAATCTGAGATGGGGTGGTGGTGGAGAAAAGAGAGGTGCTGATGCTAAGGAGCCAGTTTGGTGTTGTGGTTAGGAGCGCGGACTCTAATCTGGGAGAACCGGGTTTGATTCCCCACTCCTCCACATGCAGCCAGCTGGGTGGCCTTGGGTCAGTCACAAGTTCTCTCAGAGCTGTTCTTTCAAGAGCAGCTCTCTCAGCGCTCTCTCCACCCCACCTTTCTCACAGGGTGTCTGTTGTGTGGGGAGAGGAAGGGAAGGAATTGTAAGCCGCTCTGAGACGCCGAGTGAAGGGTGGGGTATAAATCCACCTCCTCTTCATCATCATCATCATTTTAGGTGATGGTAAGATCTCACAGAATTATGACTAGTCTCCAGATGACAGAGTTCCCCAACATATCTGTAGCCCTCTAAACTCCTTGTTATGGTCGCCAACCTCCAGGTGGGACCTGGACATCTCCCGGAATTAGAACTGATCTCCAGATAACAGATACCAGTTCCCCTGGAGAAAATGGCTGCTTTGGAGGGTGGATACTACGGCATTACAGCCACTGAAGTCCCTCCCCTCCCTAAACCCCGCCCTCCCCAGGTTCTGCCCACCCCCTAAAACTCCAGGACTCTCCTAACCTGGTGTTGGCAACCCTGTGATGAGGAACAGGAGGAGAAGAAGAGGGGGCTCGTCCCAGTCGTGTGTTTGTAGGCTCAGTAGGGGAGGGTGACTGAGAAATTGTGCCAAAGTCTCCACAGGACAAACGATGGACTTTGAGGAGAAGCCAGTGAGAAGCAGCGTCATATAGCTCTGGTTTGGGAAATTCCTGGAGGTTTGGGGGGGGTGCAAGGCTTGTAGGAGGGAGGGACTTTGGGAAGGGTGTAATGCCATAGAACCCACCAGTTTGGTGTAGTGGTTAAGAGCGCTGGCTCCAAATCTGGGTGAACCGGGTTTGATTCCCCACTCCTCCTCCACATGCAGCTGCTGGCATGACTTTGGGTCAGTCACAAGTTCTCTCAGAGCTGTTCCCTCAAGGGCAGTCCTCGAAAGAGCTCTCTCAGCCCCGCCTACCTCCCAGGGTGTCTGTTGTGGGGAGAGGAAGGGAAAGGAGATTATAAACCGTTCTGAGACTCCTTCGGGTAGTCAAGGGCAGGTATAAATCCAATCTCTTCTCCTTCTCCTTCATACGCAAAAGGAAGCCTTTGCATATGAAGAAGCTCCATACATACAGAGGAGCCTCCTGTTTCTAGGCTGTCTCCTCAGCCTCCAGGGGGCTCCGTGAAGCCGGAACAATTGATACGTGCAACGACGACGCAGCTGCCTTACGGGACAAGGAAACATTGACCGCCCAGATGTCTCAGACGCCACAAAACCCATCAGCAGGAGCCTCGTCTAGCTTAGAATCGATTTTGCGTTAACAACTGTTTCAAATTTCACCCGAGCATCTTTCAGTGGTGGTGGGAAGGGCCATCAAGTTGCAGCCAAAGTATGGTGACCCTGTCAGGTTTCCAAGGCAAGAGGCGCTCAGAGGTGGTTTTGCCGTGCCTGCCTCTGCGTAGCAACCCTTGAATTCCTCGGTGGTCTCCTATCCAAGGACTCACCAGGGCCGATCCTGCTTAGCTCCCGAGATCTGACCAGGCCAGGCTAGCCTGGGCCATCCAGCTCAGGGCAGACAAAAAAAAAAAGGTGGTTTGCCATGGCCTGCCTCTGCGTAGCAACCCTGGACTTCCTTGTTGGTCTCCCATCCAAGTACAAACCAGGATGGACTTTGCTTAGCTTCTGAGATTCAATGAGATCCAGCTAGCCCGGGCCATCCAGGTCAAGGCAAGAAATAAGCAGAGGTGGTTTGCCATTTCCTGCCTCTGCATAGCTACCCTGGACTTCCTTGTTGGTCTCCCTTCCAAGTACTAACCAGGCCCGACCCTGCTTAGCTTCCGTGATCTGACAAGATCTGGCTAGCTTGGGCCATCCAGGTCAGGACTGCTTGCTCTTGGAGGCAGAGGCGTAGCCAGAAAATTTTAGTTGGTGGGGTGTGGGGAAATCTGGGGGGCACTATGCCCGTGTCTACTGCTCTTCTCTTGCAGCAGTGGAAGCAGCAGCTCCAGCTCTGCTGCGACCTCTAGTCCTCCTCTAGTCCTTTCGATTGGAGAGATTCGATTCCAGGATGCTTTTCCGTGCAAGCCGGGAGACGAGGGAATCTCCGACTCTCTTTTGCATTTTGTAATTTTATTTTATCTTTTTGCAATTTTATTTTATTCCACTTGCATTTTTAAAAACCTATTTATTTTTTGGCTCGGGGAGAAGAGAAAACGAGATGGAAGCTCCCTGACTGCTCCCGGGGTCATTTCGGAAACCCCACACACCTCTTACATTTTCTTTAAAGAGTTTTTTCTCTGCAGGGGGCGGCACTTCTATGTGGAGGGGCATTGCCCCTAAATGCCCCCCATGACTATGGGCTTGCCTGGGAGGTTAACTTCCCATTTTTTTTGCGGGGGGTGGGGCGGGGGAGAATATAAGGCATGATAATTTCCTTCTCTTAAGAAAAACCAACACAGTCTATTTCTTTACTGCATGCCATAGCTTTTGCAAACAAAGGCCATATCGGCTGTTTGGCTGAAGTTCCTCGCCCCACGTTAAAATGTCACCCGGCAGCTTGGTGATTCAATGGAGCCAATGCTAATCCAGTGGGCTGCGCCACGGGTGATAAAGCTGAGGCTTGTAATGGCCATTTAACTGGCATCCTGTTATCACATTGGCAGGATTAATCACGGAGAAGCACCCGATACAGAGGGAAAGGCACCAGCCACCTCTGGGCTGGAAATCTCACTGTGTGAAACTGCAAAATCCAGTAGCAAACGGTCACTGAAGAGGATTGAAACTGCATTATTTATTTATTATTTAGCATGTGTGAAAGCGCCAAGCCTATCTGTAATCTATGGTCCTTTCCGCACTTGGATCTCATCCCTGTTTTTTTCAGAGTTTAACTCATGGCACAATACCTTGAATTTATCCCTGGTTGTAACAGCATCCGTTTATCCTGGGACAAGTGTGGGGCAAAACTGGGGTGACCTCAATGTAATGTGGAAACAAAAAATACGAGATAATTACAGGGGTGAACTTGTTGTACACACCGCTTATGAAACACTTTGTACTCTGCCACTGACTAACAGTCCGTTTAATTTAGTAGATGCACTTAACACTTCCATGGTGCATATGTTAAGTGCCTTTGATGATTCTAATCACAGTAACTGAAATCAATTATGAATACATATTCAGGTATTCACTTTGGTTCAATGCTTAAATGCATTCTGGGAAAAATACTAAATGCTGTCAGGCAGTAACTGGCCAGCTGTAACTACGCATGTTCCTGATGTCAGCTCACTTGCGTTAGATGGAGAATATACTGCATGGTGTACCCATATTTGTTACATTAAGGCCCCTGCCACACTAGCCGGATGATCCGCCGTTGAAGGGCGGCAAATTAGAGACGCAGCAAAAAGAAGGACGGAATTGCGATCAGACGTCTCCCGAGATGCCGCGGACAAACCTGTAGCTTGCGATCACACGGCGATGTTGGTGCGCATCAAAGACCAGGAAGAGACGGCATGGTGTGATCGGGTGGCGCAAGAAGCACCACTAATGTTTTTTTTTCCTACCAGAAGTCAAGGGTGCGCATGCCCGGGGCATACGCTTCTCATACGCTTCTTCGCATCCCATGGGAGCGTGGTGGGGAAAAAAACCACGACCGTTTCCGGCACACCAGGACGCATGAGCGTGCCGGATGCAGTGTATTATCTCCGCCTCGGCGATCATACGCTTGCCAGCGCTCCGCATTTTCCAGTTGATAGTACCCTTTTGCTGGTTCTTTTTTGATGCGCGTCTTCGGCCCGATGGTACGGCTTGGAGACGGAAGCGGAACGATTCCCAGATGTCGAGGTATGATCGTGCCAGTTTGATGCGCCCTCTACCCGTCTATTTTCCGTGTCAATTCCTCCCGTGTGAACAGGGTCTAAGATACTTTTTGTTAGCTTCACAGCCTGAAAAGAAGGCCTATTGTTTAGCTGGAGGAGGTATATTTTTGCCTGAGAAAATCCAGCCCACAGGTTGGAGCCCAATCAGAATGACAAAGTTTGATGGAACCAATAATTATGATTTATTTCTAACTGTCATAGGGGGTATAAAACTTTATGTCTCCCATTGTAACCTCGGGGGAGAGCTGTGGGTATCCGAGGATTCAAAACCTTGTTGTACCTGTACTCTCCCTCCTTTATTAATAAAGTTTTTCAGTTTGCATTCTCCTCTACAAGACTGCCGAGTGCTTTCTCAAATTGGGCTGGGGAAGCACACCCTTGACGGAGTTTCTGTCCTACAAACTCGAGTGTAGCGTAGAATGTAAAAATACCCCAAGATAATTACAGGGATGAACTCAAGTGTAGTGTAGAATGTAAGTTCGGGGACAGGGGTGAACCAGGATTTAAGGTCTAATGCGGAAAGGACCTATGACTTAAAGTGACATTGGAGAAATCACTCTCCCCCCCCCCCCGCCTTTTCCCCCCCTTACTTTTAACTCCCCCCCCCCCCTCCCTGTCTTTCCACCGCTTAGATTTCAACTCGGACAACTTCATTTGTAAGTCGGACCTGGAACAAACCCTCAACAAGCTGACAAAAGAAGACCTGACGGAAGAAGAGGTGATGCTGGTTTGCGAAAAAGTAATCGATGAGGCGGACATGGATGCCGATGGGAAACTGGGGTTCACGGATTTTGAGAACATGATTTCCAAAGCGCCGGATTTCCTTAGGTATTATTCATTCATTTACATATTGACTTCACTTATTCCCTGCATTTCTTCCTGAAGGGGACACCAAGTGGCTTCGACCATTCTCCTCTATTTTATCCTCACAACACCCCTGTAAGGTAGGCCAGATTGAGAGGGTGTGACTGGCCCTAACATCACCCAGCAAACTTCCAGGGCAGAGCAGGAATTTCAACCTGGGTCTCCCAAATCTTAGTCTTAAATTTTTAGGCTGAAAAAATGCTCTGTGTTCATCTGTGGTATACTGGAGGGCATGGCACCAGTGGTTTGGTGTAGTGGTTTAGGAACGTGGACTCTAATCTGGGAGAACCGTGTTTGATTCCCCACTTCTTCACATGCAACTGCTGGTGTGACCTTGGGTCAGTCACAAGTTCTCTCAGAGCTGTTCTCTCAAAGGCAGTCCTCGAAAGAGCTCTCTCAGCCCCACCTCCCTCACAGGGTGTCTGTTGTGGGGGAGGGGAAGGGAAAGGGGATTGTGAGCCGCTCTGAGACTCCTTTGGGTAGTGAAGGGCGGAGTATAAATCCAATCTCTTCTCTGAGCCACTCCAAATGCTATGTATGTTACTCATGGCTTATTGATCCTGTGAGCACGTTTGGAATTCTGACACAGCATGGTGGACGCAGCCACAAAATGGCTGCCACAAACTGCCCGTCTTGGGAGGCGGAGCCAGCCACTAAATGGCTGCCACCGTTTACATTTGGCCACACAGTGACAATCCGTGTGAGGCGGTGGCAGCTGCCGCCAAACCAGTGTCCAATCAGGAGCCTTGCTGGGCAAAAGCCCCGCACACTTTCTAAAAACACTTGATAGACTGCAGGAAAAGGGCACCGTGTTGGGGACGCCTGTCTTGTTGTTTTTAGTGTGGGTTTCCCCCGAGGAAAACTGTGCATCGGATCGCAGCTTCAAGCAGAAGGCAGAGCTGGAGCTTACAAAGATCACAAGACAGAATCATAGAATCATAGAGTTGTCAACATGGCAAATGGGGTTCAATGTGGCCAAGTGCAAGGTGATGCACATTGGAGCCAAAAATCCTAAATATAAATACACGTTGATGGGGTCTGAACTGGCAGAGACTGATCAAGAGAGAGATCTTGGAGTTGTAGTAGATAACTCACTGAAAAGGTCGAGACAGTGTGTGACTGCAATAAAGAAGGCCAATGCTATGCTGGGGATTATTAGGAAAGGTATTGAAAACAGATCAGCCAATATCATAATGCCCCTATATAAATCAATGGTGAGACCTCATTTGGAATACTGTGTGCAGTTCTGGGCACCACACCTTAAAAAGGATATTATAGCTTTGGAAAAAGTGCAGAAAAGGGCAACTCGAATGATAAAAGGGTTGGAACACTTTCCCTATGAGGAAAGGTTAAGGCGCTTAGGGCTCTTTAGCTTGGAGAAACGATGACTGAGGGGTGACATGATTGAGGTTTATAAGATTATGCATGGGAAAGAGCAGGTAGAGAAAGAGGTACTTTTCTCCCTTTCTCACAATACAAGAACTCGTGGGCACTCCATGAAACTGCAGAGCGGTCGGGTTAGAACGGATAAAAGGAAGTACTTCTTCACCCAAAGAGTGATTAACACATGGAATTCACTGCCACAGGAAGTGGTGGGTGCTACAAGCATGGACGGCTTCAAAAGGGAATTAGATAAGCATATGGAGCAGAGGTCCATCAGTGGCTATTAGCCACAAGGTATAGCTAGGGGCTCTGGGGCAAGTGATGCTCTGTCTTGGTGCTTGGGGGGGGTCAACAGGGGGAGGGCTTCTAATGTCCTGGCCCCACTGCTGGACCTCCTGATGGCACTGGTATTTCTGGCCACTGTGTGACACAGTGTTGGACTGGATGGACCTTTGGCCTGATCCAACATTGGCGTCTCTTATGTTCTTATGTTCTTATGAAGGGCCCTCCAGGATCATCTAGTCCAACCCCCTTCACAATGCAGGACATTCACAAATACCTCCCCCTCCACACCCCAAGTGGCCCCTGTTCCATGCCTAGAAGATGACAAAAAACCTCCAGGATCCCGGGCCAAACTGGCCTGGAGAAAAATTGCGTCCTGACCCCCACTGGCGATCAGGATTTCCCTGGGTGTGTAAGAAAGGGCCACGAGAACTAAGCTCGGAGGCAACCCTTCCTGCCCTGCATGCATCTCAGGACACGCCCAGCGGCCACTGCTCGATGGTGCGGCGGTTCAGATCCATTGGGCTGCTGGGTCGAACATCAGAGCTTAAACGTCTATCAGGGCTCTTTTTGTAGAAAAAGCCCAGCAGGAACTCATTAGCATAATAGGCCACACCCAACAGCAGGAACTCATTAGCATATTAGGCCACACCCCTGACAGCACAACTCATTGGCATATTAGGCCACACCTCCATGTTACCAGAAGTGTGCTCACCCAGCCACACCCACCTTTTGCTTCTTATTCTGT